CATGATTCTCATAGTCTTCATTCTGGGGTGGGACCGGAGAACTTCCCACCAGAACTCTTCTTGTCATCCGGCGGTTTCTTCTCACTTGTCCGTTTTGGGTCTGTATGATTACAGATCTTGGACTCTCGTGTGGCTTTATCACTGTTCCTTCCTCTTTTAAATCGGGGATCCAAATGCGGTCACCGGGTGACAGTTCCTTTCCCTCTACTACTTTGTGTCTATGGTCATAATCGAATTTCATCTTAGCTCGGTACTCCTTCTCTTTCCTTCTGATGTGATCACGGTCTGGGGTCTCTGGCTTTAGCTCCTCCGGGTGACAGGGGACTCTTGTACGAAGTTTCCGACCCATGCTCAATTGTGCTGGAGAGTAACCGTGGTGCAATGGAGTATCTCTGTAATTCAGGAGAGCCAAGTATTCGTCATTACTCTTATTCAAGACCGCCTTCATAGTTTGGACCGCCCTTTCCACTTCACCGTTGGACTGGGGGTATCTTGGAGAAGATGTTATGTGTTGAAACTGCCAGTCTGTGGAAAAGTTAGTGAACTCGTGTGAATCAAACTGGGGGCCATTGTCGCTAAATAAGATGTCTGGAATCCCATGTCGACTGAAGATCCTCTCAAGTTGCAGGATAGTCTGGGCAGAGTTTACATTCTTGGACACTTGACTTATCTCTACATCTCTTGAAAAGTAATCTACGGCTAGGAGGTAATGTTTATCCTTGTGCTGAAAGAAGTCTACGCCAACTCTGCTCCACGGTCGTTCTGGAAACTCAGTACCTTTCATTGACTCAATGCATTCTCTGCGATATTTCTCACACATGGCGCAGTTCTGCACGACTCTTGTGATGTCTTGGGAGATGCCAGGCCACCACACTGAGGAGGCCGCATTTGCACATGTTTTGGTAATTCCTTGATGACCATCGTGAAGACGCCTTAATACATCTGCCCTCAGCCTCGGAGGAATAATGATTCGCCGTCCTCTCAGGAGCAGGCCGTCGTGGAGGGAGATGTTGCCACGTTCACTCCAGTATTTAGCTATTGGCCCGTGGACTCTTCGTTTCTCTTCAGGCCATCCATTCTGCACATACTGCATCACAGTTTTAAGTGTGTCATCACTCTTCAACACAGAACTTATCTCATCTAACCGCTGGTCGGAGGCAGGTAGGGTTACCAATACAGCATTCACATAGTACTCGACTTCGTCATGTAGGTCGTTCCATGACTTAGGCTCCTGGGCTTTACCCTCCTGTGGGATCGAGACAATGAATCAGCTGTGTACAAGAGTTTACCAGGAACATGTGCGATGGCAAAGTCAAATCTCATGAGTCTCATCCTGAAGCGTTGTATGCGTACTGGTAGCTCGTCAATCAGCTTTGTGGAAAACAATGGAATCAATGGCTTGTGATCGGTTTCCACTTTAAATCTCATTCCGATCAAGAATTCAGCCCAGTGTTCAAGTGCCCATGTGATAGCCAAGGCCTCTTTTTCGATCTGGGCATAACGATGCTCTGTCTCGGTCATTAATCTGCTAGCATAGGCCACTGGCCTCATTTCACCGGACGGCTGCTTCTGCACGAGGACCGCACCAAGTCCAAAACTGCTGGCATCAGATGAGACGACGGTCTCCTTCTCTGGATCGTACAGTGCAAGAACTTGGTCGGATGCCATGTCTACTTTCAGCTGTTGGAAGGCTTCTTGTTGGGCTGTGCCCCACACCCACGCGCTCTCCTTCTTGAGCAAGTCTCTTAAGGGTTTCGTCTTCTCAGCCAGATTTGGGCAAAACTTCATAAGGTGGTTGACCAACCCCAGGAAACGTCTCAGGTCTGCAATGTTCTGGGGTTCTGCCATGTCGGTGATGGCTTTGATCTTGGAGGGGTCTTTCCTGATTCCATCACTGTCAATGATTTGGCCCAAGTATTGCAACCTGGATTGAGAAAATAAACACTTCTCAAGGTTGAGTGTTAGTTTCCTCTCGACTAGCCTGTCAAGGACTTGCTTAAGTCGTTTGTCATGTTCCGCTTGGTCTTTCCCGATGATTAGAATATCATCCATGCGGCACTTGACCCCTTCTATTCCAGAGAGTTCTTTGTCCATCCTCTTTTGGAAATGTTCTGGGGCTGAGGATATGCCGAAGGGAAGACGCTTGAACATGTAACGGCCGAAGGGGTGATAAAGGTAGTTAGCTTGGCACTTTCTGGGTTTAGGACTATCTGATGAAACCCTGAGTTGGCATCAAGTTTGGAGAATACTGAGCCTTCTGTTAGGCTTCCCAGGGTCTCTTCAACTGTTGGCATTTGATAGACTTCTCGGCGGACCGCTTGGTTAAGCCTGGTAAGATCAACACATATCCGCACCCTGCCATCGGCCTTTGGCACTACCACAATCGGTGAACACCATTCTGTCGGCTCATCCACTGGTTCAATAACGTCCAGTTGTTCCATACGCTTGATCTCCTCTTGCACTTGCTTCATTAGTGGCAGTGGTACTCGCCTGGGAGTGGTCAAACAAAAGGGTGTGGCCCTTCCTTCAATTGAATTGTATGCTCACCCTCCAATTTGCCAAGGCCTTGAAAAAGTGATGGGTACTGCTTGACAATGTCCTCCTTGGTCCCTGATTGGAGTGGATGGCTATCAGGCATTTGATGGACAGCTTTAACACTGTATGTCCCAGGGATTTCATGGATAAGACCAAGACTTCGGATGGCGGGTATCCCCAGAAGCAACTTGGATGCCCCACTGACTACGTACACTTGTTCTTTAATGACTGTTTCGCGTCTTGTTGGAGGTTCATGACTGCACATCCAAGGGTCTTTAAAGGAACATCCCCTGCTCCGACAAGTTCTCTGTCAGATTTTGAAAGTGTTCCATATGAAGACTTGTAGATGTGCTCAGGCATCACAGACACTTGTGCTCCTGTGTCGATGCACCATGCCAGCGTCTCTTGGTCTTGAATCTTGAGGTTCACATGCCATCCAGGGTCGGACCTACTGGTTTGAGAGTTTACTGCTGGTTCGGCCTTGAGGTGTTTGGACTAGTGGGTGTGTAAACCCCTCCCACAAATGTGAGGCTAAAGTTATCCTCGGTTTCAAGAACTTCGTTGACCGTCTTTGGAGGTACACTCTTGCATATGATAGGAAATGTCCCATTTTGTTGCACTTGCTGCATCGTGTATCTGCCGCTGGGCAGTTCTTCTTTCAGGGGGTGTCGGCGGTTGCAATACCAACAGTTCCGGCCACTTGTTTGGAAGGGCTTCCTCTTGAAGTCTCGCTGGTTCCTTTGCTCTGTATCTTGACCAGCATGAGGGTCTTGCCTGTTCCCTCGTGGTGTGACGCTCTCAATCTCTGCGGTTTTTGATTCGTGTAACTCACGTTTTGTTGCTTCCTTCAAAGACAGGATTTTCACTGCCTTTTCGAGTGAAAGGGCTGCTCCCTCGTCATAGAGTTTTAGCTTTTAATTGTCTTCCTTGCAGGAAAAGGTAAGTTTGTCTCTAACTGCTTGCTCATAGAAATCGGCTGGGAACTTGCACTCGGCGGCTCTTTCCTTGACAGTCACCACCCACGAATCAAAGGTCTGTGTGGGCTCTCGTTTAAGGTGAAGCCAAAATTTCTCTCGCAGCATGAGTTGAGGGTCCCGTTTTTGAAAGTATTCACCAAACTTTGCCACAACGGTTGCGTAGTTGTCGGAGTCTTCGGCTGGAAGTTTTTCTTCTCCTCCCGCGGGGTCGTCACGCTCAGGTAGGTAGGTGAAATTCGAGTAAATTTCCAAACACGGCTCGCTGATGTGGTTTAATAGCAGCCCCACTTTCATTTCATCGGGTTTCTTTGAAGCTCCAATTGCCTTGAGGTAAATTCCGAATTTTTGTTTCCATTTTCCCCACGAGTGAGCAGGATTTCCCATCGAAATTTCCAGCGGTTCCGGTGGTTTGGCGAATGGCATGCTTTCCGCCATCTTGTTTTGAACCACGTGCGTAGGATCCGCGTGAAGTTTGACCGGTCAATTCGTCTCAGTATTTGATCCGTGTTTCCGATTGGTGTGATCTCCGCAACTGTAGGCTAGTAGGAAGGTCACGCTTCTGACACCATGTTGAGTCCGAAGAGGTACAGAGACGACAGCATCAACACAACATACTTTAATACGATAGATTCATACAGCTCTCACGAATGACCCACACTACCGCCGGTCAGCGGTCAGTTAGTACTTCATGTTACTACATTAGCCTCAAACCCCCACCCCATCCCGGGAAGAGGTGGGGCATACGTGGAGATTTGCAAGTGCTTGGATGATTTACAAGCCCCCTGGGGGTTGGGAACATATTTCACTTTAGACAATTTATGTTTTAGACAGGGGACTGTGAAACAAGTCAAGAACATACCAGAGTCCGCTACAAACTGATTTATTTACTAGCTGCCATAACACAAGACAACCAAGATGGCGGAGTAACTTATTTTCCACAGGAACGCCTGAACACGTGCCCAGATGGCACTTCGTGTACACTAACCTAAGGCATACTCGTTACATCTCCTTTCCTCAGTTTAACAGCAACACAACAAACAAAATGTCGAACGAGAAATACCCTTGATTTATTGAGCAAAGGATCTTTGTAAAAAAAAAAATCTGTTCAAAGTACAGAATCCTTCTAAAGCAAAGTCTCAGTGTCCAAATTCGTAATATTTTAACCAAGCTGGAGGTAAAGAAAAGAAAGCGTCCATGAATTGAGTTCTCCCTGGGTATGCAGTACTCTTTGAATTTTCTTAAGATCGGCATGATTTTCTTAGCCTCATCTGGTGACGAAAAGGTAAACATACAAAACACTTTGTTTGCTTCTTTCCCGATTACGGCCAATAGAGTTGCAACTTGATGAGCTTGCTCCTCTTTGTCGAGTTTTGTAGCCAAAGTATAGTTCTTCCATGCAGCAACCCATGTGCGCCAATTAGAGGCTAAGAAGCCATTGTTAAGCTCAAGTATGTCCAAGAGGAGGCATCTGAAATTTAGCCATGTTTACCGAACTGGAAGGTGAACCACCCGATGTGGTGATGTTTGGAGCTGCTGAAGATTGCTGACCTTCTCTACTTTCTTTGCTCATAAATGCTTGTGGGTTCATGGTAAATGAATAGTGAAAGGCCATTCACAGATCCCGCGAGCATGTCGCATGAATGTAATTACTTATCTACACGTAGTGTTAAAGATATTAACTACAGTTTGGCTCTAAACAGTATATCTCTTAATGAAATGCCTCTCTTATAAGAAATAATTGGAGGTTCTTTAAACCTTTCTTTAAGTTTAGGTTGTGATTCTATAAGATGCCATTTCTCCATTAAAATGTGTTTGAGGTTAGGCACAGATGGGTTGTATTGCGTTACAAAGGGCAATATTTCTTTTTGCACTCTTGTATTATCCTTGAGAGCTTTATTTCTGTCAGAGAATTTCACTTCCCAGAGCGTTTTGTCTATAACGTTGTTCAGGTAGCCTCCCGCTTGAAGGCGTAGTTTGAATATTCTTATGTTTTCTACAAAAGTCTCCTCTGAAGAGTTAGTTCATAGTAGTCTCAGGCTTTCACCTTTTACGAAGCCTTTTTTGACTCCGGGTGGGTGACAAGATTTAAAGTTCGTGTACTGGAATGTCTTGGTAGGCTTGAAATAAGTATGCATGTCAAGAATAGATTCCTTTTCAAATCTTGCTCCTTTGTAGATGCATGTATCAAGAAAGATGATTTCTTTATCAGAAATATCAGCAGTGAATTTTATTGTCGGGTGATAGTCATTTGCATGTTCAATGAAGTTGTTAATTTTCTCTCTATTAGTGTCCCATAGGGAAAACACGTCATCGATATATCTCTTCCATAACAACGGCCTTGTACTGTGCTGATCGATAATTGCTGTCTCAATCTTAGCCATGAAAATATTAGCAAAGGAGACTGCTGTTTTAATCCCCATAGCCGTACCATGGGTCTGAAGTCTCAGCATTTCTCTAAGATGATGTGTTGGTATATATAGGGGGTGCTGCCGTGTAGAATGTGTCATATGCATGCATGGAATATGGTCGTGATACCTTCTTCTTGCGGTATATTTGTATATAAGCTTGTAACATCCATTGAGACAAGGGTCGCATTTTGTGGAACTCTCGTTCCTTCAATGAAGTTAATAAACTGTGTTGTATCTTTAATGTATGACTGCTGTTCTTTCATTATTGGTTGAAGAAGAGTATCAACAAAAGCTGAAATTCTCTCAGTAGGGGAGTCGCATCCAGAGATTATTGGTGGACTTGACAAGTTGACCTTGTGTGTTTTTGTAAGAGTGTAAAAAACTGGAATGCGTGGAGGGTTCAGTGTTTGAGATAACGATTTAAATGTCATTTCATGAATGTGTTTCTCTTGGTAGAGTTCTGTGATAATTTTTCGGACTTTCTTAGAGGTTTCCTCTACCATTGGTTTCTCGAGGGGTCTGTAGTGTTCTTTGATCTCGATTAGTGTCATGCCCATTTTAATCTTGTCCGTTTTGTTCATCATGACAGTGGTGGTTCCTTTGTCTGCCTTCTTGATATTCATTTCTGAGTTTTCTTTAAGTTGTCTAATAGCTTCGCGTCTGATTTAGGCATGTTAGGTTTAGGTTTCGTTATCTCAATTTCTGAGAGTTTAATTTTTGTTTCCTCAAGATATTTCTCAAGAGTAACTGATCATTGAACTGGTGATTCCCGAGAAAGGGTGTTTCATCTTTCCTCTACCGTGGTAGATATATCAGAGACGCATTCGTCTCGCAAATTGTTTGAAATCGCATAGAATTTAGTGTTAGTAGTCAGTGTTAGTATGTGGAGATGGGATGAGACGCAGGCCTTTAGATAATAGGTTTATCTGATCAGTTGTCAAGTTGCAATTGGAGAGGTTTCTAATATAAGTGCTTTTGATCTCTTCATCTCTGTTAGTAACACTTTATTTAGCTAATTTCTTTCGATGTTTGCGTTTATTATTCAAGTATTTTCTAGTGTTCGAGATTCTCTCTTTTCCATTAAAGGACTCAGTAAGAACATCTGGATAAGTTGAAACATCTTTATTGCTGGCTTTCTTAAGATTTGACATCATCTCTTGCATAAGTTGAATTGCTGCTGAATGTTTTGTACTTGCTGTTTAAGTACATTCGTGTCTGGTGCCTTACCTAGTGTAAAATCTAGAGTACTGTCATGCTCTGAACGATGAACAGCTTTCTTTTTCGCCTCTGTTAGGTGTTTTTTGTGAGAAACTTTGTTTAAATGTCTTTTATTGGAGTCAATGTTTCTGTGGTGAAACTTAATGAGCGCTCCTAACAGTTTGTGTTCTGCCTGTTTTCTTATCGTTTTGATTTCCTCTTTGAAACCTTCGTCAGCTCGTATCTTAGCCTGGGCATCATAGCGCAAAGTCCTAGGGCAAGTTTGTTTCTGACGGTGGGTCTCAAGTTTGAGAATAGCCTCTTCTGAATTCTTAATTCTTTTCCTAATTGCTTCTTCAGAGTTACTTGTATGGCGGGCTATCTTGGCAGGGCGTTCTTTACTGTTGCTGACTTGGTTCTCTCTCGCAAAAGGGCGTTTTCTGCTTGACTTTTGTTCTGACTTCTTTGTAAGTCTGTTCGCGGTCTCGTTCGGTGGGGTTGGAGATTGAATATCCTTATCTTCGTCTTCTGACACAGATTGTAATAGCTCGTCCTCGACTTCCTGGTCTGGTTCTTTGTTTGCTGGTTTGGTTATGAGTAGACCGTTGTTGTCAAGGATACTTTGGGAAGTCTCTGTGTCGCTCATATCTCTCTCTCTTACGTGGTGTTTTTTCTCTGAGATTCTTAAGCCAGACCGGTTTCGTTCCTATAGGGGAGCTCGTCAGTTGCTGCTATTTGGAGTAACTGAGTGGTGTTTGTTTGGGCATGTTCACAGCTTTTATACCAGTGTCCAACAGAGTGTTGGATCGAAAATAGCGTTCTCTGATTGGCCCATTGAGGTTGGCCAATGAAGTCTCTGATGCTTCGATCCTGGTGTAGGTTGTGTTTCTTTACATGTTTGTTGTTCTGTTTTATGGCCATGCAAATATTCCATTCTCTGATTGAAACGCGTTAGTAGATTCCTATGTGGGCTGGCTGGTATTTCCTTGAAGGAGATGGTGTAGGCTCGAATATTGTAGTAGATGCTGTTAAAAAATGTACATGTGTTGTGGTAGTCTTGGTCGTGGACGTGAAAGTTTCCCATGCAGTGGGAAGGGACTTTGTCCAAAAATATCAACATGGTAAATAAATAGTGACAGGCCAGTCACAGATCCCGCATGCGTGTCGCATGAATGTAATTACTTATCCACATGTAGTGTTAAAGAGATTAACTACAGTTTAGCTCTAACCAGTATATCTCTTAATGAAATGCCTCTCTCATAAGAAATAATTGGAGGTTCTTTAAAAATTTCTTTAAGTTTAGGTTGTGATTCTATAAGATGCCATTTCTCCATTAAAATGTGTTTAAGGTTAGTCACAGATGGGTTGTATTGCGTTACAAAGGGCAATATTTCTTTTTGCACTCTTGTGTCATCCTTGAGAGCTTTATTTCTGTCAGAGAATTTTACTTCCGAGAGTGTTTTGTCTATCAGGTTGTTCGGGTAGCCTCTCGCTCGAAGGCGTAGTTTGAATATTCTTATGTTTTCTACGAAAGTCTCCTCTGAAGAGTTAGTTCTTAGTAGTCTCAGGCCTTCACCTCAGCTACAGCTTGCGCCCCCGTACAACGGGTCACACTGACTGAATGGGGCATGGAGTGAGGGGTTGGAAGCACAATGTTCTCCCCCACTGCATCCTCCGAGTTTTCAAGGG